ATTGTGTTCGATTTTGTTGAACCATTCTATTACAGATGCGGTGTTTTTCCATTGCTCTTGTTTCTGTAATAATTTTCTTATTGATCCTGTCTAAAATTTGTTTACTTACTTTGTCAATTTCTGGTTTGGTAGGGTTGATCAATCTGCACGCAGGATTATTTGCAAAGTTTGGTTTGTGGTCTTTCAGGGTGATGAAAGCCTATTTGCGGTGACGTCAACGCGGTCATCGATGTCTAATTTCACTGCAATATTCTTGTCTTCTTGTCTAATTTTTCTAGCCGTATCTTCTGTGTTTTTTTGTAAGACTTAGTTATGTTTTTCTCCAGTAGTTTGCTGTACGTTGTTGGGTCCATCTTGTAGAAGTTTGTTGTTTTGTCGGCCGGTACAGTCAATGTGCTGCTGTTTTGTATGCGTTTGACGTCGCTGTTGAGATCATTGAGAAAATTACTACTCGCTGGTTTAAACTTGGTGGATCTGATAATGTTAATCATGCCATCCTTGAATTCTTTTAGTTCGTCTATGGGTGGAGGGTTTTTTGTTGAATTGAAGCCGTAGTTCTGCTTGGTGGTTGAGGCCTTGTTCGGGTGTAGGAAGAAGTAAGCTTTCCATCGCATTCTTCGTATGAAGTGTGCTGTTTTCTCTATAAGGCGGTGTAGATAATCTTTCTGGGTAGGTATTGGTATGTTCTTCGTGGAGTAGCCAAGATTTAATTCTTCCATGTCGGATAATCGTAGAGTGCTCGACGAGTATATACAAGGAGCGTACTTAGGAATATATATATAATAGCAAAGCAATCAGACTTACAGTTTTCAACAAGAAGTCAAAAATATCACTTTTTATCAAAAAAGACAAAAATAATCATTAAAATTAAAGAATTAAAGATATCATCACGATATGTACAAATCTGAGAGAGGTTCACATTTAGTACCTATATTCAACAAGAAGTTGAAAATATCACTTTTTACCGAAAAAGACAAAAATCATCATTAAAATTAAAGAATTAAATTTGCTGTCAGGTAATCCCTTACACAAACATTAATTGGTACGGAATATGCATTACCCTAATTGCATCTCAGATGATGTAAATGTTGTTATAGTAGCATGTTTAGTAAGATCAATTTTCAACTCAGTGTTCTTCTGTTGCTACCTCAATTATTTTCATAGTGAGATATTGACTCATTTTATACATAAATATGTTTTATCTAATAGTAATTTTCATATTATCATCCACAGATACGATCATCTTCCACTAACCATCACTGGATTGGTCTCAGAGAATACGGCATAGGATCAGGATATGAGTGAGTTTGTCATAGATTTTCCCTTCAATTGTTTACATTAATTGCATATTACATGATTCTTCGTTACAAACATGTTGATAATTGAAGCGTCTATGTTGGTGCAAGAAATTTTCAGTCTCAATTTTGTGAGCAGTGTAATGAGAGGTGTAATTCATAGACTGTATTGCTGTTTCATCCATATGATGAGGAAACCTGCTTCGTAATCTATTCAAGTTTATATTTTTCTCAACCACAGAGTTCTAGTTTGAGTCTCACCATCACAGTTTGCAATTTTGACTATTTTTTTATATAAACGATGTGTATCATCCTGTTTTGTTTTGTGGAGGATGTCTACCTTTAAGAATGGTGGTGACATTTTATTTGTGCTTGCCTAGGTGGTCAGAAATTTTATTTTTGCTTGCCTAGGTGGTCTGAAATTTTATTTTTGCTTGCCTAGATGGTCTGATGGTACAGCCTTAGATTATCAAAACTGGGATGCCGGTGAACCAAATGATTTCAATGGTGAAGAACAATGTGTTAATTTCTATGCACATGATCGTAAGTAATACATTTTTCTGCTAGAATTAGTTTGATTTTGCAGCAATTAAGTGTAAGTGCATGTAGTAATGTAAATTGATAAACTCTTGATATGAAATATGGTGATTTGGTTTTCTTTATTACATATTAGGCCAAAATACAAAAATTATTAAGGTTTTTGGTCACCTATATGTCAGAATTTTCGAAAAATTAAAATAAAAGTTTAGTTTTCATGAAAAATCATACTTTTAATGGCTAAATTAAAATGAAAATAACAAGCCCAACCATGTACATCGATTTTATAAAACAAATTGTTCAGAATTAAGCCACTTCATTGTAACATTTTCAAATTGTGAACACTAATTTTATATAATTAGTACTTGAATAATGTAATTATGTACATGTACTGTAAATTTAACAGAAATGAATTTATGCTAAAAACAATTCGTGTTTATAATCATATGCAATAATCATATTTTCACATTCGATTTGCTCCCTTCAGCAAAAAAAAAGTCCAGAAAGGTACCGAACTGTACCAGAAGTAATTTAAAGTTTTCATTAAGCGTTTTATGATTGGGACTGTGCTGACAAAATTAGTTCGATCCTTAACTGCGTTGAATGACATGCAATCACACCCATTGTTTTTCCTTATATCGATTTACAGAAGGTACCTGGAATGACAAAAACTGTGGTGAGAGAATACCATTCATATGTCGAAAATTTGAGCACATAACCCACCCAATTACACGTATACCAACCACGCCAATGCCTGGACCATGTCCTGGGGGAGGATGGATGGAATATGGAGGAAAATGTTATAAGATATATAGTGGTGATGGGAGTGATTCTTTAACCTGGGAGGATGCTCGAACTGTTTGTAGAGATCTTGGAGGAGATCTAGCTACAATACACAGTCAGGCTTTGCAATGTAAGTTGCCTTACATTGATTCCAGAAACCATGTACATATATACTGAATAAAGTCGTACTGAAAAAGTGGTTTCAATTATATTGGTTATCACGCTCCAATTAGTCTCCCTCAAACATGATATGAAATGTTTTGCCAACTTTTCTTCCAGAATTTATTAATTGTGTTCGCTTAATTCATCAATAATATTTACTGTCAGTTACAATTATGTTTTGGCCACATCCATGTAAATGATTGTAAAACTTTCTAAAACATTCAATTTTTTTGGTCAAGTGTCAGAAAAATGGAGAAAAATCAAATTTTATGAAAAGTCATAATTTGATATTTTTGGAAAAATAAAATAAAAAAAGTTGCCTGTGTCTGCTCATTTTGAAAAACAAGTTGAGCAGAAAAATGTTTTTCTTTGTGCTTACTTAATGAGATATCAGATTTTGAGAAAGACTCTCATGTAATTCCAAATTGTTTACTTTGTATTTTTTAAATAGCATTCTTGATAAGCAAACTACGTTACGTGTCATCAGCATTATGGATTGGTCTGAGTGATATATCTTATCAAAATAGATTCATATGGACTGATGGTACACCTGTAGACTACACAAACTGGGCTGCAGATGAACCCAATGGGTACTATGCAGTAAGTTTTTTTTTTGCATTGTGCATGTTTGACTACATTCTTAACTGTTGTCTTACACATTCCTGGATCGATAAAATTTAAACTTCATGCATACTTATCATTTATGTGTTTCATTCAAATTTACTATGGCTGAATATGACATCATTTTCATCAAAATCAAGCATTTCTCTCATGTTGGAACTAGATCACAGTTTTTAATGAAAGGATTTTCTTCAAACTTCTTGCACATAAAACACCATTGATATCGATGCATGTCATTCTGTTTTGATAGATTGGATTCAAAATGGCAACTGTATGTGTGGTTGCAGTTTAGTTTTAATGATCACTGTTCCAGAATCACTGATGTGCTTTGGCTGATTATGTTTAAACTTCTCACATACATGTACAAATACACCTGCATTTGTTTCTCAGCCTAATTCAGAATGACTGATTGGCAGATAATTACTCAGATCAGCTAGATATATGGAACATACATCACGTTTTACACATCTGATTCAAAATGGCCATTGGGTGGCTATTTTGTTTTAACAAATCCCCTTATCTCTGACATGTCTCTTGTGCACTTATTATGCTCCTGCATTTGTTTTAATTCAAGATGGCCAAATGGCAGCTATTTTTAGTGCTAAAAATTAATTAAAATTAAGCATTTCTGTCATTGCTAACAAGATCTCAGTTGTGTATTGACAAATTTCATTCAGGCTTAATTGGCACATAATTATATATTTAATATACTGTAAAATTAAACATACTTTATTTAATCCAACAAATATACCTTTTTTTCTATATTATACATTCAACTCGTCAAAAATCAGTGAAAATGAATTCCATACAAAGTACTCAAACAGTCTTTTCAGTAAAAATTTGTTCCAGCTAAAATCAAATATTTTACAGTCGTACCTTAAGGTTGCAATAGAAGAAAAACAAATTAGTAATTGATCTGTGTGTGCTTGTGTAGAGTAATTTTGTACATGATGTTTTATTATCATACAATTCTTTCTTTACCAGGATGACTGCGTTGAGATGATGTACATCTCCTCCCATGCTGGGCAATGGAATGACATATCATGTGACAGTGAAAGGGGATACATATGTCAGGGAGATAAAGGTAGACAATTCATCTTTTATTATGAATGCCATCAAATCACAAACATTACCACTAGCCAAATTTTAGAGATAATAGTGTTACTGGTAAATAATAATTGGATGAAATCGTCAAGCATTTCTGCCATTTTCTTGTTTTTGTTTTGTTTTTTATGTCTCTAAAACTTTCAAGACTCCAAATTTGTTATTGCTATTATATAATTTATTTCATGCTTTAACTATGTCTTGTGAATCTTAGCTTATCACTACTTTATTATATATCTTGGATCATAAATCCCAGACTAGACAAGCTTGAATAAGCTATTTCTGTGACCCCACCTGAAACAAAAATATATACTATATTACTATCATTGTAATTACTACTATTATTTTTTGTTTTTTTATTTATTTATTTATTTATTTATTTATTTATTTATTTATTTATTTATTTATTTATTTATTTATTTATTTATTTATTTATTTATTTATTTATTTATTTATTTATTTATTTATAATTTAGTCAATGTATACACTGTTTCTGGTGAAATAAATGTCATTCATTCATTCCATTTCATTTCATTTCAAGCATAATATGATAAATTTGTTAAATTATTATTTAAAATGACACAGTCATTACACAGTTGATATACAAGTCTCATGAAACATACAATGTATATTTAGTGCATGTAAATTGCATTGTTTACTGTGTTGTTTTAAAATAATATAGGGTATAAGCCTGACCTGAGAAAATAAGTTGGTCAAAGTATAAGGGTTTTATCATATTTAAAATCTGCTACACTAAAACTTTTATTTCAAATTTTATAAAGACACATTTTATATAACCCCTAAACATTAATTATGCTTCTAATAAAATTGGAATATAGAAACTGTGGCAGGATGGACTGTATAAACAGAGGCTTATAACTTTGGTTCTGTGTGTGCATGTATGTGTGCAGCCGTTTGTCTGTTTGTTTCTGCATTTCATGAAAAGTGTTTCAAAGTTACTTACTGTTTTAGCTTTTGTTGACCAGAAAGTGAACTTTTGATCCAAAAAATTATACTTAACATGCACAGAATCAAAAACAAAATTGTTGTGAATTTGTATGCTTTAACAATACAATTCTGTAAGTGAATTTTGTGAAAATCGGTCAAAGTGTTTCAAGGATATGATGCAGCAAACATTTTAGCCCTTTTTAACTAAAAATAACACTTTTTGACCCAAAAAACATACTTAACATGCACAGATACAACAACAAAATTAATTGAAAATGTATGCAGGTTTTTTTTCATTGACATGTATATGTTATAATTATTATTATCCAGATGTTGACCCATCAGCTCCTGACCCAACTTATCCTTCTGAAGATGAATGTCAAGATGACTACATCCAAGAGTATCTTGGCTGCTACAAAGTGGTGAAGTCTTCACAGACACATCAAAGTTCTAATGATATTTGTGTCAATGATGGCGGTAATCTAGTCAGTATTATTGATGCATATGAACAAGGTTTCATTGATACATTGGTATTTGATGTTGATAGACCATTATGGATTGGTATGGCATATAATGAAGAGGTGGGTACACTGTGTATTTAATATATTTGTTTACAAATTACTTTTATTTATTCATGAAGACATACATAGATAATAGCAGAGGCAGATACACATGATCAAAGCGATTATTGGAAATCAGTAATTATACTAAATCTGGTGACAATGTACATGTACAAAGATGCACTATGTACACCGAAAATTATTGGCCTAACTAACAATAGACAAACATTATTGTCATTTACGCACTTTCCATGAGTAGATTGCAAACAGTATCACTCACTGGACACCCTCTGTGAGCTGTCTTCAAACAGTATAATTATTTTCTGCACTCCCTCCGGGAATTCATTGCAAGCAGTACTGCTCTCTGCGCTCTATCCGCAAGCTGATTTCAAAAAGTATTGCTGTTTCCACACTCTGCAAACTCTCTGCAAGCCAGTTGTAAACAATATCACTGTGCAATAAGTATGCAAATGCACAGTCTCATCACAAACTCTTTGTATGATAAATGATCGAAGTAGTCACTGCATATATTTTTTTGTTAGGGAAGTGCTCTTGATTAATACAAACAATATATCAATACTTTAGAAATGGTGGGCTCTCGCATCTCAATTGTTCATATTCCCTATATATTGTAATTACAGAGTAGTGAGTACAAATGGATTGATGGGACACCAGTATATTATACCAACTGGGGATCTGGTGAACCAAGTGGTGGTGACGATTCTGGATGTGTACAGTCGACAACTGATGGTTGGGATGATACAAATTGTGCTGAGCTTACTGGAGCTATCTGTAAAATTTATTTAGGTACAGTACTATGAGGTTATTACAAGGATACTGCAAAGTATGCATGAAGACAGTACAGGAGAGGATTGACCAACGCGCAGTGGAGGTCGATGTGACCACATACTGTCTGAGTGCATACTTTGCAGTATCCTTGTAATAACCTTTTTATTATTATTATACATCTTTTCATCCCAGGAATACATCATGGAAATGCCGAAATCCAAAACTTTTAGAACAGATTTAACGAAATACTTTGTGTGGGGTTCAGTCAAACCCTGGGGGCTGCCATGTTTGTTTTTTTATTATTAGAGGGCGCTTACGCGCGTAATCTTTACATATTTGTAATTCACATTTCCTAATATGCTAGGATGAAAATACCCAGTGCAATACCGCAAAATTAACGACACCCTGTAACGTATGGCGTTACGGTTACAATGTTAAACCTTACTGTAAAATACAATTATATATAATAGTTTTCCACATTTAGCTAATAAAATGAACATACAAGAATATCCAAGAAGTGCCTGAAGTACATAAGTCTTATTAGAAACCATTCATAATTATATTGAACAGGAACTTGTGATTAATTCTTATTTAAGTTATATTAAGTATTCCTGTCCATTTAACCATTATCTTTCTTTGATTTACAGCACCTCCTCCAACCACTCCTGAATATGTCGAGGGCCACTGTCCTGCAACATTTGTTAGCTATGGTTCAGATTGTTATTATTTTGGAGGTGTGAACGACTACAAATCATTTTCAGATGGCCAGCTTGAATGTATTAGACTAGGAGCAGATTTAGCAAGTATACACCACCAACAAGAAAATGACTTTGTGTTTGCTTACCTAAATAGTATGGATGTATACTTAGGGTTAACAAGAACTGGAAGTAAGTTACTTTCTACTTAGCGTGTGGATCAAAGATGAAGGTCGAGGTGTATGAGAGGAAAACGTCTGTTCAATAACTATGTCTGTTCAATGTACAATAACTCAAACAGTTTTTGTCTAATTTTTTTTCAAACCTGGAAATTATATAAATCAATTTGGATCCATGTTTTTTAAAATATTGGTTAAATTTGTCTTTTCGCCTGTGTGTTGACATGTTACTGTTTTGGGCATGCATTCTTGACTGTTCTTGCACTTATTAATAAAGACTGTAAATAATGCTTCCTGTAGATGGATGGAAATGGGTTGATGAGAGTGTCTTACAGTATACAAACTGGGCAGTAGGTGAACCTTCTGATAGCAATGGTGAGGAGGACTGTGTTGTTATGCTTCATAACCAAGGCACATGGAATGATCTTGTTTGTAGTGGATATAAAGGATACGTATGTAAACGACCAAAAGGTATCTATCATTTACTCATTTATAACATTTTACCATAGTATTACAAATTTGGTTTTATCGCCATATTGAAAATCCATTCGGGATATAGATTTTTGATATAGCCAATACCAAAATCTAATTCCTTCCAATCTGTGTTAGAAGCTACAGCTTCTATTACAATGGTGCAATGCAAGAGAGGTGATGCGGCTTTTATTACAATGGTGCAATGCAACAGAGGTGATGCGGCTTCTATTACAGCATCTACACATATGAGAAATCTTGAATTGTTGGTTCTCAATTATTCAAAAAGAATGGTTGTAGCTTCTATCAGGGATGCAGCTTTTAATGCAGATTTTATGATAGTACGATTTTGGACTAAAATTTATTTATTTATTGTTTAGCTAGTTGCTAAAAAACACTTGATTTGTTTTTATGTGACTTGATGTAATATTTGTATTATACAGATGGTGACCCAGTTGAATCTTCAACAATAACCAATAACCCTGGTGACCCTGTTATGGATGACCCAGACAGTAATAACAGTGGTAAGATTTCTATTGCATGTCTTCAGTACTTCCAGTTCATGGGAAGTCATTCTAGCTTTCATTGATTTCTTTGGTCTATCAAACCTGCAGGATAATTTCAAAAGTATTTTTATTCATTATCATCATTTGAGAATATGCTGCATTAAACATGTAAGTTTTCAATTTGTATGCTTCTGCATATCCTCCTTGTGCAAGCTCACAATTATGCATGTGGATATCAACTATGCATTACTCTTCCAATACATTAAATATGATTTGTTTTTCAGATGTGAATGTAGCTGGCATCATTCTTGTATGTGAACTAATCATTGTTGCCATTGTTGGAATAGCTTTCCTTGTACGATGGTTTGTGAAGAAACAATGCTACGGTGGCAAACAAGGTGAATTCATGAGTGGCCCAGCAGCGGACTTCAGTAATTCTATGTACGAACCATCAGTAAATTCCACGCCATCTACAATACCTAGTATCAGTGCAATGTCCGGCAGTCCAGTTGGTCCTGTCTATGACAATCCACAACCTGTGCCACAGTATCCAGAGGACACAATATATTTTAGTGTGGCTTGAGTCTATTCTGTGTGAGTCCCACTGATTGATAATTATGTCTATGCAACTTATGATAGGAGGAACAAATACACATGCTGCTTGGTTGTGAAGACCCATGTATCTATTTCACCTTGACAAGAGTTTGTGAATTATCAAAAGACAGATTATAATGTTGTAAAAGTTTCCTTGAGATCTTTGTTTTAAATTGTTCAGTACAAAAGGTAAATTTTTATCTGAGGTTACAACTGTTATGGGAAGTTTACAATTCAAAGTTCAGACACTAAAGTGAATCTAGTACAATGTTGTAAACCAACAATTAAAACTTGCTTACATCTGTGTTGAGAAATATATAATAATACAGCAATTTTTAATTCAGTAAACAGCTCAAATGTCTGTCTTATGGAGTATGTTACATTGCCAGATTGTAACCTAATGTTTTTGCTGGGAAATGATTGACCAGCTTTTTTATATCATTTTGTAGTTACCTTATCATCCATATTGTAGACACGTACTACTGGGTTATTGTTGTGAAAAATGAATTTTTATTTTTGATTACATGTGTTTATAAACAAGTTACAATTTCTGTCCTATGTAGTCCTGAAAATCTACTTAAATTAAAGTTCTGATAGCATCTGATATCCATCAGTGATGCTCAATGACACTCACAGTTACGGTTAGACTTTTCTTTTTAGGTATTGTGAAATGCAGCATTTTTACGAAGTAAAATCACATTTATTGAAGTTATTGTTCATACACATTTTGTAATTTCATTCAGCTGCTTTCAGTCATATTTCTAAACACACGAAACTCAATCATATTGAGAATATAATTATGTTTTGTTTATAATATTTATGTGTAATTGATATTATGAAAATCATTATTGGTGTGCATATGGAATACATATCGTTATGAAATATTCTTAACATATTTCTGTATTCACATGTCAAAATCAGTTGTTTTCAGGTTTCTTCCCCTCCAAAAGAATTTCACAATGCCCATTGATACATGGAAGTATATGCAATAATTTGGCAGGAACAAAATCTCGCTCTCGTTCTCTTGTCAATTTGGATAACATGGCCAGTCTGAAATGTAATGAATCAATAATAAGAAAATGTATACATTCAGGACCTTAACCATCCAACCATATAGATTATACATATTAGGTTACATGTCCATGGCGATTTATTTCGCAATTGGATCAAAGATGGTCGACTGGCAGGCATCTTGTTTTTTTTATGCGGTATCTTGGACGTGTTCTGTAAGTTTTTATTCAAATTTGGCACATACATGTACTTTATACATGTTAGGATGCATGTCCAAGACAAGTTGTTTCAAAATCTGATCAAGGATGGCCGATTGACAGCCATCTGACTTTTTGGCCTGACTACTATATTTCCACAATTTGTGTACCATTTTCATTCATATTTGGCACATACATCATACATATCAGCGTGTTTCATAATCAGATCAAAGATGGCCGAATTAAGGCTGTTTTTATTTTTGGCCATATTACTACTACACGGAACACATGTTTTGATGTAAATAAACAATCTGTTGTATACGCCACTTGGAACACAAGTTTCAAGGACACGCTCGAGACAACCCCTCTGCTTTAATATGACGAGCACAAAGAGAACTTTCAAAAATTTAACGGGGACTGTGTCATTTTCAATGACTTGTTGTAATATGTTGTGGGCATTTCAAAACATAATGGAATTCATCCGTAATTGAATTTGTGTTGCATCTTGTACAGATCCTGTGTTCAACTTTAACCTTTGGCCTTAAGTGCCTGCCTTTCTCAATCATTAAGGGATGGTCACTTATTCTTAGTTTGCATATTCTTTTTCTTATTCCACCGTCCTTAACATTATTTAATACTCCTCTATTTTAAATTCTGTTTTGAATAATTTATATGTTCTTAGTTTATTCTGTTCCCCTGTCCCATCTGTATTTATATTTTTTCCAATTTGAATCATAGTCGGTCTCTAAACGTTTACAAATTTCTTGAATGTTATTTTCATTCCCATTCCAAAAGTTACCCACTTCTTTTTTACCAGTAATTTCTTGCATTGACTTAGCCCATGAGGATTGATTTTCCATCGTACTCATCATTGCCTCATGGACTAAAGTATTTTTGTTGTGCTTGTTCTTAACCAAAATTTCAATAACATTTTCTTAAAAAACAATGACAGTGGGTATCTACGTAATTCTCCTTTTACTGCTAGATTGGTGGATGATTGATTTATAACAACTTACATAATTTTAGATTTAATTTTTCCACTGGTGTTTTGTCAGTATATTTTTCAATTCCCCAAATTTCACACCCATATGTTAGTATTGGTCTAATGACATGGTCAAAAATACTGATCCATGTGTTACATGTTACATCCTTGTTTTACACCCCCGAGTGACTTAAGGTAGAGATGCAGTTTACCTGACAGGTATTTTAATTAATTAGGAAACCAAGATGACCTCCCTTGTCCACAAAACTATATATTTTCGGAAAGCTTATTGTATGAATTTTAAAATTGTTAGTTGTCTGTACGATTGTTGTAACACTGTTCAATGAAAAAACAATGCCCCGACGGTGTTTTGAAGATAAACACATTGTCAATCATTTGTGAAGTTCTGGGATGTGCATTAAAAAGAAGCTGAGATAATTGTTAATTTGCATAACAATTCACTCAGTAAGAAGTTTGCTAATGCTAATAATTAAAATGGCTGTAACAGTTCCAAATTTAAGTGTATTATCGTTTTGTTAAAAGTTAAATATAGTGCATAATATGGAGATCCCGTCATTTCGTTTTTGAGTATGTTCCACTATTCACAATTCTACAAAATGTTAACAGTTATAGTCAAGACTGTTTGGATAATAATAAAAAAAAAACCAAAAAAAAAAAAAACCTGCATCTCTACCTTAAAAGCTCTAGTTAATCCTCCTTTTAATTTTATACTGTAGTTTACATCTTCATACATGCTTTTAATTACATAACAGAAATTGCCATTGATATTGTTTCTTAATAATTTATAATACATCCCTTTACGCCAGACACTTTTTTTTTAAATCAACAAAGCCAACAAACCCTTTCTACAAAATGTTAACAGTCTATAGTCAAGACTGTTTGGATAATAATAATAAAAAAAAAAAACTGCATCTCTACCTTAAAAGCTCTAGTTAATCCTCCTTTTAATTTTATACTGTAGTTTACATCTTCATACATGCTTTTAATTACATAATAGAAATTGTCATTGATATTGTTTCTTAATAATTTATAATACATCCCTTTACGCCAGACACTATTTTTTAAATCAACAAAGCCAACAAACCCTTTTTTTTAATTTTCTTGTGCGTTTCATTATTATTGATGTATTTATCTATATTTGTTTGTTTAGAATAAATAACCTGGTCTGAAATCAGCCTGGCATGGGTTTAAGATGTTATTGCACTCAACATAGTTATGAAGTCTATTATTGAGAGGGCTATCCCTCTATAATTATTCGGAATATTTTTATCACCCGATTTGTGCAATGGTTTAATGTAACTTGTACGCCAACTTTCTGGAAATTGTTTAAGTGTTATAATGGTATTAACAAGTTTCATAATTGGTGTAACTAGAGCAGATTGCCCATATATAATCATTTCATTGGTGATTCTGTCATCACCGGGAGATTTCTTTTTTATGTAATCGTTTAATTGCTTTAATTATCTCATCAACAGTAATTTCCCTATTTAATTCTTTATTTGTTTCATTATTTTCTAATGCTTTAATTGTTGTTATAATGGTATTAACAAGTTTCATAATTGGTGTAACTAGAGCAGATTGCCCATATATAATCATTTCATTGGTGATTCTGTCATCACCGGGAGATTTCTTTTTTATGTAATCGTTTAATTGCTTTAATTATCTCATCAACAGTAATTTCCCTATTTAATTCTTTATTTGTTTCATTATTTTCTAATGCTTTAATTTCCTCATCTAAAATTGAATCATTCTTACACCATATTAAATTTTTTAAAATGTTTAATCCATTCATCTTCACTGATACTTTCACTAATATCATTGTTAGATGGTAATGAATTAGTATTTTTTAATTCTTTAATAATGTTCCAAGATTTTGTTGGATTATTTCTTTCACTTCCATTTATATCATTTAATAGTGTCTCTTGATGCACTCTTTTTTCAGTCTAATTAGTTTTTTGTATCCTTTTTTCAGTTGAAAAAATATAGACCTTATGTACGGTTCTCTGGGATGTTTTACTAAAAATTTACCCATGCCAGTTAACTCTCGTTAACATGGCATATCATACCATTTATTTTGTTTGGTGCTTTTTATTATTATTATTATTATTATTATTATTATTGTTATTATTGTAGACTTATATCTGTCTCTATGCTGGCCATCTTCTGTAAACATAACACTCTTCCAATGACTCAATATTGACTCGCGTTATTTCAAATCAACAATACATAACGTTTTCTTAACATTTTAAAGTACCATGGCAACTCAATCGGTTCTAATTCATCTCAATATTTTAGTTAACAGCACATTCAGATTTGTTGGCAAATTTAACATATTAGTAATTTAGTTTTGGATATAATAATCACACTTAAGTATCTTTGTAAGACATGTAGTTAAACCCAAGTGCCAAGAGATTGCATAGTTAGGATGCAATACATCAGGAAACCATTCGCCTGATTGCAATAAGGTGCATCACAATAGCTTTCCTTTGAAGCATGGCTTGTGTATAGTATTTTCACCACAACAATGTGTGACATACAATATGAAGAGAGGGGATCCTTTCTAAAAAAAACAATAGTCTTCATAAAAATAGTCATTTACAAGATTTTAAAATTGAGTCTTTGCTTATATTGGTGATTGTAGAAACATAAACACAAGGTTGGAATCATCCAAAATATTTATATCAGTGCATCATGGAATACGTTTTTGTCATCTCTGTCAGCGAGGGTTTATTTGTTGGTAGGAATTCACAGCTATGAATGGTCGGTGTCAGTGAATCTATGTAAATCGAATGATGAAGTTTGTATATGATACACTTGTAATTTTCTTAAATAACTGACTCGTAGCAATCAACAATATGTAAATCTGTGCACAATTTTTATGAATGAATAATTCGTTGACACTTCCGCGTCATGTCATCAGTCTTGACCTAAATTATTGTAGCTGAAATTAGCCTGTGAATAATCTTAATCTCATAGCTGCACACACAGTGCCATTTGAACACAATTCTGGATAGTGCAGCGATATACAAGTAGGGTTGTGCAAAGTTCTGGATGTTGACTATATAAAATACTTCCATACACTCCAGAGGCAGCCAACCACTGTGTGCAGAAATTGATCTATACCCTCTTACGTTGTGGCTTGAATGGTAGCTCTGATCCCTTTAATACTTCCTCAATTGTTTCACCGTAGAATGAATGGCTGAGATAAATAGTTTCTAGATCAATGTACTCACCAGCAAGGATATGTCATAACAGCAGCATGCGACCCTCCAGCTTGATATTGTTGAGATGGAATGACTGGCTTGGTTGAGGTTGATATGGATGGCGGTTTATCAGTTCTCTTTATTATGTGTGCAATGTTTAGGTCGTAATCATTGTAGTTATTTGACTGCAGTGCATCACTAACTTGTACCTTGTAACTGTGATCTTGTTAGATCGTGTTTCTATTTTGATATAAAACTAAAAAAAAAATATTTTCAGTACACTGGAAAAATGAAGTATATGATAACAATAGAAGAAAAGATAACAGAAGAAATAAGAAGATTATTTGACAAACTTTAAAAATAGTGAACTCCGGGAATTAATTAGTAAGTTTCGTTTAATGGAGATTCAACAAACACTGTAAAGGTGTACATGCTGCATTCTACATCGTTTCGATCCTATTTACTGGCTTCTTTGCCAACCGTGTGTTGTTTCCTTGTCTATTATATAGTTGTTTTGCTTGCAACGATGTGATGGTCTTGATCAGATTCCCGTAACATCGTAGTTTGTTTTTGTAGATGTAGATTTTTAAATCTACATTTGTGTGCACTTCAGGGGATGCCAATATTCAGTTGTGTTGTTGCCGGTTATACATGATTGGCAAAACATATTGTTTTTTTCCGGTAAACTTTCAGTCGATATTATCTCGAATAGGTGTCATCGAATCATCAAAGTAATTCTCAATTTGCCATGTCATTGTAATGAAAACTGCACCATTGCACCATCGTTTAAATATTGTTTACATACCGTATCAGTAGTGATATTTCACACTAAACGTCATAGCTGTGAATGATTTGTACCATAATTGTGTTATAAACGTGAATATCAAACTGTCATCGTAAATAAAACTTCTGGTCTTTCAGTAATCTACTTATTCCAATTAATCATGTTGGTATATTATTCAGATTAAATATTTACTGACAAATATTGACATATTTGAACTAGCATACATCAGTAGACTAGAATGCGTATAGTAAACAATAATGCCTTACGCCTACTATATACTCTTTATACATTTGTTTTAAAACATAAAACATCGTAGTTGTCATACTGTGTGGCTTACGACTATGACGCCTTCAAACAATATTTGATATTATCATTTGCAGATAATATCATCCACCTTGTAGAATATTGAACTTGTACCCCAACTATTCTGTTATAACCACGATGACGTAACTATCACATGGTTTTGAGTGTATAAAAACCTTCAATACCCGGCAATTGCTGTGTTATCTCGATATCTGATTGCCCAACCGCTGTCCGAACCGATTACTGACAATTGCAAATCCGCTTCATCGTTTTAAGACCGATGATCTGTTCACGACTTTTAATAATTTAAAACTATTTATACTTAGTCTGCACTCAAATTATATGTAACTGAGTTCTGAAAATAGACATGCTGTACGTATGACCTGATTCGTATCATACTTCTCGGTCACTGAGCTCATCACCTCGGACAGATGACACTTATATATAAGTTACTTAATAACTTTATTTGTACGCAATCCGCCCACCCGTTGTATATCTCATTCAAGCTTGTAAACTACTATGGCGATATACCAGGCATTATTGTGCTTCTTACACATATTTTCAGGTAGATTCTATGGTTTATTCTATTACGATTTCAACGCGGTAAAAATTCTCAGTCAATATGTATATGTTATTATTTTCACGACTGGGTTTTCTCGCCAGAACTGCAAACATTCAATACTAAAAAGTGGGCGTTCCAGAATTGTTCTAAATCCCACAGTACTGAATCAGTGCATTGTTTTGAATTTTAAAGCGATGAATTACATGCAGTTTTTATTTTAATATTATTACGAGGTTGTAACACCTGCGAGAGATCATAACTAAATGACTACAAGATGTTTTCGACTTACATATATAATCATATTAGTGCTTCTGTCGTCACCGATTCGAAATACGGTCATAATTGCAGCGTTTCTGTTTGCTCGACTAAAAAAGCAGTTTGAGATGTTGTTTTATATAACATTATGTCAATTCTATATGTTTACTATGATTTTCAAGGGTGTGCACTTTGAACTTTACATATATGTCACTTAAGAAATTTGCGCACAGTGAACAATTGGCCTGACCCACGGTGCCAGGAGTACAAACTTCAAGTATCCCACTCGTACACTCACCGACCCCATCTCCAACCGCATGTGATAATCTGACCAGTATAACTTGTGTGACTTTGATTATCAAAATGACAATAACACTTTGATAGAGCCAGTTCTCCAGTAAACACCGTTGGTCAAGTTCATGTACTAATAATAACAATAACATGCTTCTTGACACCTCATTAACGTTGTTTATCTTTTGTTATTTCAGTATATTACGTAACATCGGAGATGGTAATATCGGACACGTGCCCTGGTGGATGGATAGAATATGGTGACAATTGTTTTATGGTAGACTACATATTTGTATACAAGTATACAAATAATAATACTAACACTATTATTATTATTATTTCTATACTTTTAATATGCGTGATAGATGCGTGCAGTTCAAACCTCGAGACAAATTGCCGCCATTTCTAATTTGATATCAACAACACATGTAAATTTGCTACATTCAAGTTTCTGTACTTTCTGCCATTCCAGAAATCTACTGTCAGCGACCATTTTAAATGTTTTGTCAACAACGTAATGGCTATTTATATATACATTTCATTAGTGGCCTTACAATATCAGACGAATGTAGAAATTTGATATTAACACGAGTTAATAAATCTAATATTATGGCGTCCCGAATTCGATGTCCTGTTTATTCTATATATCTACAGCTTTAAAATGCCAAATACAGCGCAGTGATTGCAATGTATGAGCGCTTGTTGAAGCGCATGGACCAATCATATTACAGGAATTAGTGTTACAAAGTATGCAAATTAATATTACACTAAACTGCCATAATACAGACAAATATTAAACTGCTGATTTACTAAATTGCCATGATATATGGACTAAATGATCTTATACACTGCTAACATACTAGATCATTTGATTGTTTCTGGTGCAGGTTTTATTGCGTTCAAAAATGTTCCATTTCAAACTGCGCATGCACACACATAATGATTTCTCGAAATGCATACTAATTTGGAGCAATAGTACTAGATTGAATAATCAACGTTCCTCTACATTCTCCATGAATTTCGTAATTTACTATGATCACGTTGAAGAATAAATATGTGATAACTTTTAATAGCTTGTGTCTCAAAGACACTTTTACATAATTTTTTTGATTATTTTTTCAGCTCGCAGCGATAGAATCACTCAATTTAGAATGACCATGATGGCTATCGGAAAGCATTTTGGCACAATTTTTCTGAAAAGACGTGTTTTTCATTGCTCATGAATATTATATTATATGATTGGTTGAAAAAATCACCTATTATGGAAATTAGGCGATTATTTAAACAAATCGTGTCATGCAACTTCCCCCTGGGTGAATGTGATAATTTGCCCGATTAGCCAACATCTTGTAGGCTCGTTCGCAATTGATTTAGTACGCGCACGGTCACCGTCTTCTATATAGTCCAAACAAACAAACTAACTCAACGTTTTCATTATCTGTCATTTCTAAGCAGTAGTGCGATATACACATATAATTTGGATTGTACGATGAAGACCCACAGTTCATTGATGGTATCTTCTACTTTATTTCTACTTTATATCACCGGATACACGTTGACGTGCTGTGTGGTGATTTATTGTCAAATAAAACATTGCGTCTACATATGCTTCAGTACCTCTAATTAATACTATTGTTTGTATGTGACACGTATGCACGTTCGTATTCTGCGGCAAAGCATAAATTACACTTGTTTACATGCCAAAAAAACAACACATATCCTGAAAAATACTCCAACGCAATAATTATGTTCTCTTACATCAAGGTATACGACAAATCTTACGACGACCGATTAAACTGGCACCACTCACAGTCTTACTGTCGTTTAATGGGATCTGAGTTGGCAAGTTTTCACAGTAAAGAAGAAGAGGATTACGTCATATCACAAAGTGGTGCATGGTTAGTTTTATTCTCATAACGTAACTGGGTGAATAATGCTATCTTGAGATTTGCTTTTTAGCTGAACTGTACCGATTATACTGTCTGTCTGTCTGTCTGTCTGTCTGTCTGTCTGTCTGTCTGTCTTTCTGGATGTCTGTCTGGATGTGAGCGACTTCTCAAAAATCGTTGAACCGTTTGACTCCATTTTTTGTTGTGTAGTTGCGTTGTGTAGATGGAATTAGTAGTTGATCTGCCAAATATTATGCAAATTGTACACCAACAACTATAAAAATGTTTAAATGACTTCTAATTCGTACTGATATTGATATTGCGCATGTATTGGGTCGACCTTTATTAACTTTGTTAATTATGTGACAAAATCTTCATTGCATCTTTTAGTGCATATTTCTATTATTTTTGCTATTTTCGACTTCTTCTTAAAAACTACCAGCTCAATTGCCTTGATACCTTGAGTGGGCCTAAAAATTTGTCCATTTTGTGATGATATCTTTAATTCTCTATTTTAAGAAAATACCTTTATCATTTATAGTAAAACATGCTATTTTCGACTTCGCCTTGAAAAATACCATCTCAATGACTTAGATACTTGGTATGGTTTGTAGCAAGTTGATAACAATTGCCATACAACTGCGATATAAACTACCATGGCTGTGATTTAGAACATTGTAGAAACAATAATCATGACAAATCTCATATATCATTATATAGAAGATTATCAACTTGGATTTTAGGAAGACACTCTACAAAGACAGTGGAGCTATCTAAACCACGAGGTCGCTTGTCTTAGTAAAGGGTAAATCATTAAAAACTCTGAAGTATAGAATTGTTGTGCAAAGTATTATTTTTTCTTTTCACCTAATTTTGAGATGTATATGGCTGATAACTACCACTATCTAAAGACCTGCTAATTCAATTCAATACATATATATACCTGTATAGAATTAATGCTAGAACTGATAATGATAATCATAATCTGGGAATCTATTTGTTGAATTATTGTGATTGGTCAGCAAGTCTTTTTATTTTATTTGTTCAACATATTCTATGCTATGTGCAAACATTGGGAGTCGTTCCTGTTTAGTTCATCCGTGTAGGTATTTATGAATGTCTGTGTATATGTGTCTCTTCCAACATTATCTCAAGAATCAATCATCGGATTTCAATGCTGCTTTGTGATAATGCACAGACTTGATGAATTTTCAGTAGAATTCTGTGCATATTTTATTATGGCAAACATATTTGAGCGTCACTCCAATTAATCTGATTTTTGTCATTTTACGTTATTCTTATTTCAGGTCCACCTGGTTTTGGTATGGATTGAATGATATCGTGGTGGAAGGAAGTAAGAAAAGCGACAATATTTATTCCGTGTGAACATTTTGTTAAACCACTGTTTCTCAGATAAATTATTTGCAGGGTGTTGATTTTGTCATTATTATTTTTTTACTTACCACTAATTAGCCTTTGAATGGAGTGACGGATCTAATATAACGTACGTGAGAAACAATCCTCAGAATATGGAATATAAGGACTGTATAAGTTGTTATTTAAATAGTGCAAGCACAGAATGGTGGATAGAAAACTGCGATACAGTGGTGAATTCGTGGATTTGCAAGATACCTAAAGGTGAATATGTTGTTTGTATCGATGAACGTGAAGTTGTCATTCTTTAGGCATTGAGGTGCAGATTCAATCTTTGTACAGAAGTTATAAATCGCCGTAAACGTTGACTGCGAGCAAAAATTAAAGCGGGAGGGTCGTCACCTGCGCACGCGCGGGAATTGAGTCCCAAGCGACGATAACGACACATGATAAAAACGCAAAGGCTCATGGGTAGACGCTTGTTTGTAAACAATGACACGCTATGGCTATCTGACGCATGCGCAGGTGACGACTCCCCTGAAATGAGGTACATCTGTTGCATTCATTTTTTTTTCATTTTGGGGTAGCATTGAATAAAACATCAATTAACTTGCACAAGGCAGGTTGACACTGTGTTATTATTCAATGCTAGAAGTAGCCAAAAGTCATCGAATCAACGAACAGTAATTTGATTAGGCGCTCTTGTTTTCTTTGAGAAACTAGTGTTTTATCGAATATGGACCCTTCCCACCAAACTTGTTAATACGGCAGTATCTGTAATGCACAATATACGTGGGATCTGTGAATCATCCCACATATCTTGTCTGTCTGTGACCCACAGTACTTTGGCTAGCTCCTGTCCTAATAGCAGTGAATAAGGAAGGGTATGGCTGTGATCATGTACGCTTATTATGGCATCATTACCGTAAAAAATATGATGCCTAAAATATTGAAATACGAGTAAACAATACCTGGACCAATCATCCAACACACCTTACCCGTATTATACTAGTAGTATATATTTAGCTCATTTCCAATGGCATCAATTTCAATTCAATTGACGTATTTTCGCGTGTACTTTGTTCATGTGACTGAAATACAAGAATCATGACTATCATTACTTTCTATAATTATCATGAGTAATACTTAAAAAAAAATACACAATAGATAGCGAAGTGTTCTTGGTGTGGTAATTGAAATAAAAGACTCCCACGCATCATTGCTAAAAGCATAGCTCTGATGTAAATGTTTGTTACCATATGCCACATTGATCGATGGGTTACCTTTTAACAAAATATTCCTGAATACATTCTGAACGTATGACCTCGTATATTTATTGATATACATTCGTATATACTATTGTAAACCATTGACTTAATACATCACTCCTCACAGGGCAAGATCTAGTCACCCCTCCACCCCCAGACTACTGTTACCAAGGCAACACTAATTGGCTGGAGTATGATGGAATGTGTTATTACTTCAGTGATTTGTCTAACGCAGAAGTAATGGGTTGGAATGACGGACGCTCTCACTGTAATTCACTGGGAGGTGAACTGGTGTCAATTCATAGTCAAGAAGAAAATGACTTTATCGACCTGCAGGTAATATTACAATATATTGAAAACCTATCTAACACAATGTTTTTCAGATGTGTTGTATTGTAAATGGTAAATGTCTACACAACCAAATCACTATGTTATTTGAACATTATTGCTTATTACTATTTACGTCATTTTGGCGTCACAGTAACGATTCGTCACAGAACAGTTCTAGTATGATATTTGGTATATATCCTTTTTAATAATGTTCACGTTATAAGATGGCGCACTTTTGTTATTGCGATTTTTTTTCTTTTTTATCTTGACCCCCAAATATCAATAACGACGTTGTGCACTGCATAGGTTCAACAAAACAAATAAAATCACTGCAGAATGCGAGGTAGTGTTGATCTGGGCATGTTTGATATGTTTAATTGACATGCACAGGCGCATGTGCATGCTAGTTGGCGAACGCATAAACAAACGACGTCACAGTGCGTAGGGTATTATACTCTGCTTATTGACATTCAATGTAGTATGAAATTAAAATTTTGTATTATGTATACATATGAATCATTTATAATTGTAGAACGATAAAAGAGCGATATTGATATTGTCTCACATCACTCAACAGAATTACACAATTATCTAACTTCTTTAAATATTAGATTAAAGGATCACAATATACCCATTATTGGATAGGTCTGCGAGAATATGGGATAGCAGCTGAATACTTGTAAGTAATCTGCATGCACCGCATGGTGTTTATCTATATTTGAGCATATTATCACGTGATTATTTTTACGTTATTTCCTGCACAATCGTTATACTGGGTGTGGTGTAAATTATATTAGCCAAAAAGCAATTGATCGATTGTGTTTTTAATAATTGTGATAAATAAAAGGCAGTAAATGCATCATTATACGGAAGTCATTAATATATAGTAATAAACATCGTATCATAGATGGTCCGATGGAACGCCAGTGGATTATGTCAACTGGGAGACCGGTGAACCCAATGACCATAATGGGGAAGAAGATTGTGCTAATATATATCCTAATACAGGTAGGATTGTGTCCAACACGCGCCCACCAATTGTTAAAATGGCGGTGAAAATGTTTGGATAAATTTGATTAATACAGAATTCTGATTCCGCGTCACGCAGATTGTCACTCATACTCAAATGCTGCTCCAAAACAGCTACGTTTGGATAACGGTTTATACGAACTTAGATATTGTCATGCATTTTGTTCACGCATTTTATACGCTCGTACTATATCTCCCAACTCTCCATGGTACCAGACCACTACGATGACTGGCACTTCTATACGGCATGTTAGCCTACTGTAAAATGAAATTATTTAATATTAATTGTTAAAAGTAGCAATATTATAATATGTAATGCATCACTGCGTACCTTGTTATGCTCAATTACCTTGAACCTTTTACATATATAGTGTTTGATATCGAGGTAAGATTTTGGAAGCATTTCTATTACATATAAATGTCAGTTTCTAGAAAACAATATTTCCCATCATTGACATACCTTCAAATCATTTATCCAGCAACATGGAATGACGCACACTGTGCGGATGCTTATCCATTCATATGCAAGAAATTTAACCATACTACCAATCCTATCACGCATGTGCCAGTCACGCCCATGCCTGGTTCCTGTCCCGGGGGAGGATGGATGGAGCATGATGGGAGATGTTATAAGATTTTCGGCGGCGATGGGAGTGGTATGTTAGCCTGGGAACCGGCAAGGACTGTGTGTAGAGGCCTCGGTGGAGATTTAGTCACCATACATAACCAGGCATTGCAATGTAAGTATCAGTGTATATGGCCCATTGTTATTAATGTAGTAAAATTACACGACTTCTTGTACTTGTTTGGATGTGTGTTTGCAGTAGTACGAAATATACTCATTTCATTTGGCCATGCCAAATATGGCATTAAACGAAACGCCGCAATGCTGTATTATAGCTTCGCAGGGAAACTAACTCAGTTAGAAATATAATGATCGTTAAACTATCAGCTATTATATTATTATTATTTGTAATATTTCCTAAATGTATATGTATGCGGAAATTGATGATATGGATTCTGGTGTAGTGTTGAAGTTTGTAGAAGAATCCATTTTTATATTTATGTAGAGGTTGATGGTCATGTATATGATATAGATGTATTTTTTGATGTAATTAACAACTTAATTTTTACTGTTAATCTTAAGCATTTTTAACCAGCAACTTACGGGGCCTGGCATCTCCATTGTGGATTGGTTTAAATGCTCGTACAACTAGTGGTACTTATAAATGGACTGATGGCTCATCAGTGGACTATACTAACTGGGCAGCTGGTGAACCAAATGAATATTATGTAAGCATGGGTTTAACTTATACTCACTAAAGATTATACGAAAATATTATTCTAGTATTTATGTATTCATATCACTTTGTTCACTAGGACGCGTGTGTAGAAATGTACATACTATTAACAACAGCTGGCACATGGAATGATCTGAGTTGTACAGAGGAGAGAGGTTTTGTCTGCCAAGGACGGAAAGGTTTGTTGTGTGTTACAATGGTTATTATGAGTTTTTTGAACACATGTGCATCAAGTTCTGTCCTATAAAATGCCCACAAATAACCAATGTAGATGGTAAAGCGATCTCGTTTTGTGGTTATGTATGATGTTCCTCCATAGAAAATATATACAGGTTTTATTTGTCGCAAATTACGGACAACAGTCTTCCTAATTTAAGTTGATGTTCAAGTGCTATGCTGCTCGGAAAGTTACTTTGACATGACATTCATATTTTGTGTAAATGTAGTCCCAGAGGCCCCTGCACCAGTTCCACCGGATGGCAATTGTTCACAAAGGTATTTTACAGTTTTTACACAAACTAGCGCTTTGGTGTAACGATCTTTGAAATTCCTATTTCTTATAGATGTCGACCCGGCGGCCCCTCCGCCTGTCACGCCGGAACACAATTGTCCGGAGGGGTATGTGAATTACTACTTAAGCTGTTACAAAGTGTTGACGTACTCCCACACACACCAGACTGCTAATGATATTTGCATCAGTGAAGGTGGTAATTTGGCAAGTATACTTGATGTCTACGAGCAAGGATTTATTGACACACTGGTGTATGATGCCGAGACCCCGTTGTGGATCGGACTTTCATATCAAGAAGAGGTAGGTGGTTCCACTGCTTTATAGGTCAGTGCAAATATCAGCAAAACATGGCATTTTAGATAGTACCATGTTTATATAAACAGTCATATCGTAATATTATTTAAATTTGCTTGCTTTGCAGTATAATGAATACAAATGGATTGATGGTGCCCCAGTGTTTTACACCAGTTGGGCATTTAACGAACCAAATGACAATGGTTGTGTACAGAGTACAACCACTGGGTGGATCGATACAAACTGTGATAGTAATACTGGTGCTATATGTAAAATATATCTTAGTATGTAAAGTATGCAATAATTATATATGAAACATTACTAACTAGAATGGCAATTTACCATTTTACTTGAGGCTAATCTGTGGTGTTAACCATCGACTTTCATATTTCTTTGGAATGTCAGAGCAATTAATGACAATCACAATGGCTAGTTTCACGTATCCTGCTAGCAACTTACTGTAATACATATTTGCATCACTAATCATCCTGGACGACCGGTGACGACATTTCGTGCGTATCTGGCTTTCACTGGCAATGATCGCAGAGGCCAGTTTTTGTTGTAGAGTACCCATCACGTATAGAATCAAAAATGTTAAGGGTTTGGGGAATTCTGCGTGATCTAATTATTTTTAGTTCCATAGTTTCGGGTTGGAAGCAAAGTATTCCCAAATATTAATGGGAGAACGCAACTCATTGATAAACATTCAGTCCGATATTTGATTTTCATAGCTGCTGATAATAGAATGCGACAGTGAATGGAATATTATTTTCCTCAGCTCTGTTGGCGGGAATTCATTAACTGTCTATAGATTGATTGTGTCTTCATCATTAATATACAGAAATTGCGTCCGCATATAGCGTTTGAAAACGCCCAGCTTATACTGAATTATGACAATCTTTCTCGGTAGTGTATACGTGAGGCATTTTAATAGACATCTCTATTTTTTTCTAATCTAAAACGAGTCATTAAATGTGTATTAGTGGAACTAATGTATTACGCCTTTTTTTCAGAATCACCCCCTACAACCCCGGATCATATAGAAGGGGAATGTTTGATTGGTTTTGTTCCTTACGGAAGTGACTGTTATTATTTCGGTGGTGTCAATCGTGTCGAGACATTTTCGGAGTCGCAGTTTGAGTGTGCTAGACTGGGTTCAAATTTAGCATCTATACATCACAGTCAAGAGAATAATTTCATCTTTAGTTATCTCCATAACGAGAATGTGTATATTGGTCTGACAAGATCTTACAGTGAGTTTTATTTATAGGTATTTATATGATTTTGTGTAATTTTCCTTTTCATCAAAACACTGTTTTATACATTTCACATGTGAAAAGAAGGGGATATAGATAACACATGTTTGTATATGGAATATAACTTTTTAATTGACATCCATGGAAAAAGAAACACTTTTACAAGTAACGGATTGAATTTCGGACTCTACCTAGTGTACCCATTGCCCACCACGTATATGGGATATAACTTTTTAATTGACATCCATGGAAAAAGACACACTTTTACAAGTAACGGATTGAATTTCGGACTCTACCTAGTGTATCCATTGCCCACCACATTGCCCACATTCGTATAGTTGTCAGAGATATACATTTTGCCAATTTACAGATGGGTGGAGGTGGTTAGATGATAGTCCTATACAGTACACAAACTGGAACGCAGGTGAACCCTCAAATGGCAATGAAAACTGTGTTACAATGCTCAACAACCACGGTACATGGAACGATGTAGACTGTTCCCAAATTAACGGATTTGTATGCAAAACTCCGAAAAGTAAGTATCTTTAAAAATAGAATATATATCGTAGATGTGGAGTGATGTATTATACATATTTTTTTATTTATTTATTTGGATGACAACCTAAATTTGTTTCATCGTAGCAAGAATTCAAATGTATATTACAATATTTTCAGTTGTACCGACGTTTGAAACTTCCACCTTGCCGATAAATATTGAAGATTCGAGTGACGGTATGATATATTTTTACACAAATTTTAGTTAGAGATATTATGATACAGCTGCTGTAATTCTTGGTGTGTTTTAATTTCGTATTGTAGTATTTAACCAATCATTGCGGTACATTCGTCTGTCTGTACTGAAGTCGAAACATTAAAAATGACGATGTGGTTGTTTTACGGTATAATCATGTCAGTTTCACTGTTGGAAACTTGATTATAGTATATTGCAGTCTTGGCAGCAACTACTTTCACCACCTGACACGTGTCTGAAATAATACACGGATACATTGCGTAAGCCATCGAATCTAAATGTCTTATGTTACATGGTTAACACTGTGGTACTGCACGTGGTACTATAACTGATGCTTATCGACATACTTGCGTGTTGTCATCGCTATTCGTATCTAATATGATATTCATCTTAAATTCTCATAACTGGAAAAATTATTCATTTTTTACTTTTAGGTGTAAATGTCGCTGCGGTGATTCTTATGGCCGAGATTGTTATAGTCGTCATATTGGCAGTCGCGTTTTTTGTACGATGGCTCATAAAGAATGGTCAGTCAAAGAGAAATCAGGCGAGCTTTAATCCTGGGCCGCCTGCAGGACTAGAAAATGCAATGTACGAGGACAACGGCTTGTACACACCCTCAACCACGCCCTCAACCACACACACCATTTATGCCAATGACACGGAACAAGTACAGGATGGTACTTACACAAGTCTGGCTTGATAGAGGGCGCAGTTATCGGGACATAATATCTGACTCAAC